TGGGTCCATTTCTTCTTACATGATTAATTGGGGGCAATTGGAAGGAAAAAACAGGGACACACCTGCAGCCCTGTGGCAAGGCCTCGGAGCAGCCCTCTTCCGAGGCTTGGGGGTGGGGGGTGACGCCTTGTCTGGGCGCTTCAGAGCAGCCCAGCGCCGCACGGAGCCGTCCAGCAACCACCCAGCACTGCACAGAGCCATCCAGTGACTGCCCAGTGCTGCATGGAGCCATCCAGTGACTGCCCAGCACCGCACGGAGCCGTCCGGCAACCGCCCAGCACTGCACAGAGCCATCCAGTGACTGCCCAGCACCACACGGAGCCATCCGGCAACCGCCCAGCACTGCACAGAGCCATCCAGTGACTGCCCAGTGCTGCACGGAGCCATCCAGTGACTGCCCAGCACCGCACGGAGCCGTCCAGTAACTGCCCAGTGCTGCATGGAGCCATCCAGTGACTGCCCAGTGCTGCATGGAGCTGTCCGGCGACTGCCCAGCACTGCACAGAGCCATCCAGTGACTGCCCAGCACCGCACGGAGCCATCCGGCAACCACCCAGCACCGCACGGAGCCGTCTGGCAACTGCCCAGCACTGCACAGAGCCATCCAGTGACTGCCCAGTGCTGCACGGAGCCATCCAGTGACTGCTCAGCACCGCACGGAGCCATCCAGTAACTGCCCAGTGCTGCACGGAGCCGTCCGGCAACCGCCAACCACTGCACAGAGCCATCCAGTGACTGCCCAGTGCTGCACGGAGCCGTCCGGCGACCGCCCAGCACTGCACAGAGCCATCTAGTAACTGCCCAGTGCTGCACGGAGCCATCCAGTGACTGCCCAGCACTGCACGGAGCCGTCCGGCGACCGCCCAGCACTGCGCGGAGCCATCCAGCGACCGCCCAGCACTGCACAGAGCCATCCAGTAACTGCCTAGCACTGCACAGAGCCATCCAGTGACTGCCCAGTGCTGCACGGAGCCATCCAGTGACTGCCCAGCACCGCACGGAGCCGTCCGGCAACCGCCCAGCACTGCACAGAGCCATCCAGTGACTGCCCAGCACCGCACGGAGCCGTCCGGCAACCACCCAGCACTGCACAGAGCCGTCCGGCGACCGCCCAGCACTGCACAGAGCCATCCAGTGACTGCCCAGTGCTGCACGGAGCCATCTGGCAAATGGGACCAGGAGGACCAAACCTGCCCATTTCTCCATGGTACGATACACGAGGGCCTGTCACTCCCTTGGCATCTGTGTGGGCAGAGGCACCCGGAGGCCTGAGCTTGTGAGATTTCCCACCCCTGGTTCAGAAGGTCCAAGGAGAGGGCTGATCTGAACCCATCCCAGCCCCGCCCCCTCAGCTGGTTCAGGGCCCTCATGTCACCCCCACTTTCTCCACTAGATGGGGCCAGATGCCGCCCCCCCCCAAGGCCCAATCCAGCACCACCAGGGGTCTGAGCTGGGCCCAGCCCCAGTCTGGGAGCGGGTGGCTCTGGGCACAGAGTCCCGAGCTGCGGACTGGGAATCTGGAACCCGGATCAGAACTTTCCCAGGGGCTGAGGGGCTTTGTGTCTGTCGTACTGGGCCAAGCCCCGCTGGGCTTTTCTACGGGGTCGGGCTCCCCCTTCACACACCCTTCCCCCCCATCTCACTCACTATGGGAGGTGGGGCAGGGGGTCAGTCAGTGCTGACCCCAGTGTGGTGCTTGTGGAAAACCAGGGCATTTTGATTTCCTAGCTCTCACGTTACTGGGAATGACAGCGTGATGAACGGGGATGGTGTCTCCTGGACTAAAGAGAAGAGACTTGTCCCCCCACCCCGCCCCCGTCCCCCCCGCCACATCTCCCCCCTATCCTCGCTGCACAAAGAACAGCCATTCCGGCTCCAAAGTGCTTTAAAGACATTTTTAGCAAACCCAGCCCCTCGGATTCCCGTTGGCTGCAGCCCCTTGGAGGTCTCCACTCCGAGCCGGCCAGGGCCCGTCCTGCAGCAGGAAAGGTGCAGGGGTGGGAACCTCCTTCAGAATATTTCGCAAGATCCCAGAGGAAGCAAGTCAGGAAAAGGGGCTGGAGAAAGCCCAGAAAAACGCTCCACAAATTCCAGGTGCGGCCTCAAGAGATGGGACACCCCATCAGCTTCGCTCCAGGCAGAGCCACACGTTGCCTCCTGGACACCTGGATTTGGGGGGAGGGGGGGAGACCCAGTAACAAACCCCAAATAAAGGGAGCATCCGGGTGGGCAGGGTAAGACAGGCGTTCACACCCACCCGGGGAGCAATGGGGGAGCTTCTGTTGGACGGCACCGAGCAGGGGGGCTGCTCAATCTGCCAGGGCCGGATTCTGCTCACGGGGCCTCTGGGATCACTAGACGTGCTGGGTGAGCGAGGGCAGGAGCTGCCCCATAATGCACTGAGCACCACACAGGGTGCAAACAACTGCCTTGCAAAGCCCTGCCTCCTGGCCCCAGCACCCGCATCGCAGCTGGGCCCACGGGTAAGGGGCTTGTTTAACATCACGCAGGACATCTATGCTGACAGAACCCAGCAGCGCTGATCCCCTGCCTCGCCCCTGCTCTCACCACTAGCCCCCACTCCTCTCCCAGAGCTGGAGTCCTGGCTCCAACCTCACCCTGCTGTAACCACTAGACACCACTCCCCTCCCGCACCTGGGAGCAGAACCCAGGAGTCCTGGCTCCCAGCCCCTTCCCCCCCCCGCCGTTCTAACTGCTAGACACCACTCCCCTCCTGCACCTGGGATCAGAACCCAGGAGTCCTGGCTCCCAGCCCCCCTGCTCTAACCGCTCGTCCCCACTTCCCTCCCGCACCTGGGAGCAGAACCCAGGAGTCCCCAGTTCCACCTACTGGCGTGCTCTCTGGCTGCCCCCTGGGACCCACTGCGTGCTGCAGGAACCCCACCCGCTGCCGGGAAGGCTGCCTTGTAGCCACCACTGTTACAGAGGAAGCAAGTTCTTTGGGCTGCCAAGAGCACGCATTCCCTGTGCCTTGGTGTCCCCTCCCCCTCTCCAAGCTCCTCCATCCCCAAGCCCATGGAACAAGGGCTCCGCCGAACAGACACATGGGGTCCATTCTCTGCCAAGGTAGCTGAACCTGCCCCAGGCTGAGCGTACGAGCTAAGGGCTGGATCGGTGCTAGGACAGGAGGCCTCTGAGGAAGATCTAATGATGCTGAGTCAGTCGGAGGGGCTCTGCCCTCTAAGCCAGGCAGGAACCGATGCCCTAATGCACAGTTAGGGGGCACTGGAGGTGCTGCCTTTCCCGTGAAATGTAAAGCCACGGTCCCGATCATCTGACTGGCAAAAGCCCAGAGCATTTCATTGCGCAGGGAGGTGGGACGTGAACGCTGGTGTTCTGCCAAATTCCAGTCCAGCTAATTCCATTCGGCGTCCTGAATTCCCTTTGCAGTTTCGATTGGACACAAGCTTGTCTCCTTCACTTCCTGGCCTAAAACTGGCGTCTCAAGTTGCTGTTAAACAGCTGCTGTGTCCCACCCCAGAGGTGGCAGCATGTCAGTGCAGGGCAAAGACACCCCGGTATAGCTCTATTTAACGTTGTAAAGCGCTTTGGGCGATGAATGGCTCCGTGGCAGCAGTCTGACACCTCAGGCTGCCAGCCCACTTTCCCTCACCTGCTCAAGGGGGCAGAAAAATCCTTCTGTGTGAAGCCGTTTGCAGCTCCCTGAGCTAGAGCAGAAGCCCAGCCGCAGCTGCACTTGGGATTAGGGCACCCGCAGGCTGCAGCCACCAGATGGTGCCACCCTCTACCAGCACCCATGCGGGTTTGACATCGCCCGCCAGGGAGAGCAGCGAGGTCGCAAGAGCTGCTCTCAGGGAAAGGGAGTCAGGATTCCTGGGTCCTATCCCCAGCTCTGCCACCGACTCACTGGGGAGCCCTGGGCAAGTCGTCCCTCTGCACCTGTTTGCCCTCTCTAAATGGGGCGCGTGACCCGAACCTGCTCCAGAGAGGGTGTGAGGATTAGAGCCCATAGGTGCTGTAGGGCTGGGGCTGGACAGGGGTTTCTGCAGCCGGGGTTCTGGGTTACTGTGGCTGGTGAGGGCTGGGGCATTGCGAGAGGGGAAGTCACAGGCTCGGAGCGGCTAAAGCCTTTGAACACACAGTTTGAACACACGATGCTGGCTCCTCCAGCCCCGCACCATGTGTGCTAGCCATGTGCTTGTCTCTCACCTGCGTGCAATGCACGCTAGCAGCCCGCTCCACCCTATGGCCCCAGCCCCCCACCGCCAGCCGTTCTCCCCAGCCCAGGGGCCCGCTACCGAGCAGGGATAAGGCCTCACTTAGAGTCCGGTGCCCAGTGACCCTGGCCCACTTGCTGCCCCATTCTCTCTTTGCCTGGTTTAAGTTACCCCCCTCCACCCCGCTGCCCAAGGTACCCCACCCCCAATGGACCCCAGCCCCGCGGCATGCAGGCACCCGGCCTGACCCCAAACGCTCGGCGGTGCCCCGCTAGAGACACAAGGACACACTTGCCTTACACACGCCCCCGGGCGCACGCACAACTAGACGTGCCGCGTACACACAGCTACGTGCGCGGCACCTGCCGGGCACCCCCCCGCAGCTCTTGGGCTAAGCAACCTCGAAAATCAGCCACTCGGTCGAGAACAATGGAGAGCCCCCCTCCCCCACGGAACAATGGGAGTCGCTGGCTCCTGAGCTCGTGGGAGCTCTGGCCGCACAAGGAGCAGGTGGGTTCTGTGTTAAAGCCCAGGGAAATTGGAGGGGGAGAACTGCTGAGCTGGGGGGGGGTTGCTCTCCCTGACCCCCCCCAATAGCAGTCCTCCCCCAGCCTGTCCATGTACACACACACATACACACCTAGACCCATGCAGGTTGTCACACAGAGCCCCCACCCACTTGCACATCCCCACACCAGAGACTTGCACAAGCGGCAGGCTGGGATCTATTCCTAGCCAGTGCACTTGGCTGGGCGTGCATGGCCCTCGGCCCAGAGGCAGCTGTGCAGGGGATTAGACCGAGCTGGCTCCCTGCACCAGGCCCCAGGGGCAGGACGGAGCAGTGAGGGGCCTGGGAGAGGAATGTGCAGCTGGGGCTGGGTGGGAGTGCAGGAGACAGATGGGGTGAGAGCTGGGTGGCAGCCCCATGCTGGTGCCACCCAGCCTGACAGCCCCTCCAGGAGCCACCCCGCAGTCAGCCCCCCACTGGCGTCATCCTGGTTCCGTCTCTTTCTGCTTCCCCAGAACCTCCCCGTGACGGCTCCTGCCCTGACGCGCTGGTTCCTCGGGGGGCCTCCCACCAGCCTTGCGGTTTCGTAGCTTTCCTCGCCTCCTGGCTTCCCCCGGTCTTATCTCGCCCCAGCATCCGCGGCAGCAGCAGGGCCCCGCGCCATGGCACAGCGGAACCGAGAGATGAGCAAGAGGTGAGGGGAGCCACCCCGCTCTGGCTTTCGGGCCCGGGGATACCCAGAGCCAGCGGAGACGGGCCTGTAAAATACCCTTGGGCCTTCCCACTCCAGTCCCCTCCAGCACCAACCCCAGGGGATTCTGACTGGCCACAGCTCAGAGCACTGGGAAACACCTGCCCCCAGATAAAACACCAGCTTTCCTGGGCTTGTGCCTTAGAGCGACTGGCCTGGCCAGGGTGGCTCTCCAGGGCGGGCGGCCTGCACCCATGCAGGCCAGCAAGACGCCTGGGGGTTTCTCCTCTACCAGGTCTGCGTGCTGTGAACTTCACGGGAAGAGCCCACCCTTGCTGGACACGGAATATGCGGCCCAAATCGGGGCTGAGGCTGCCCCATGCCCCAGCGCTGGGGTTGGACCCCCACAGACCCTAGAGCAGAGCCCAAGGAGCCAGTCTCAGCCTGGCTCACAGCAGGTGGCATCTGCAGCCATGGCCGCCCATATGTTCCGCCGCTTTGCCTGCCCTCCAAGAGCGACATCTCCCCCGTGCACAGGGTCCTGGTGCATCCCTTCATCTGACATTACAGGGCCAAAGGACTAAACTCCTCAAGCCAGGGGCTGTGCTTTCCTGGGGGTCTGTACAGCGCCTGATGCTCCCAGGTGACCGTGCAAACCCAGTCAGCCCTAGAGGCAGGGCTGGGCCAGCCCGCTCTGCGCTTACATTGCACGCCATGCACACAGAGCAACACTGATCCAGACTAGAACGGCAGGACAGAAAGGTTTGAGGCAGTAAAAGCAGAAAGTTTGAGGGATAGGAGCTGCCCCTTGTGCTTACGAAGCTGCAAACTGATGGTTGCTTGGTCTGATTAACCCTTGAGGGGTGGGAAACGCAGGCCAGCAGGGAGGAAGCCAGTTTGCAACAGGGTTTCGCTTCTTCCTTGCTTGGATTTCAATCTATCACTTTACGGAGCACCGCAGAGTCTGGCTAGGGAGAGGTTTGGCAGGAAAAGACACAAGCCATTTCCTGTCTGGAACAGGGATATTCTAGCTCTTCACTTACACATTGGGTCTTGCTGGGGTGCTTGCTAGAGCCTGCTGGCTAGTGATTTGGCCAGGGAGGGAGTCTCACTCAGTGCTCTGAGGGGGCCAGGAGCTGGGATTACAAAAAACAAAAAAAAACTAAAAAAAGTGTACATAAACTCATGGCTCAGATTTACTTTTCTCATTAACGAGCGTTTGCACATGAGCCAGCTCTGCCAATTCAATTATCTCATCTTTCCCATTAGTCATTTCATGTCACCCTCCTACAGTGTCAGGAGACACTCAGCAGACTTAGTAATGCAGGTCTCAGGGACCCAGGTGATGAGGGATTTTAATATTCATGCCGGAGGTGCCACAAATAAACCTCCTCAGGATCATTTTGCTCAGTGCACGAGCTGCTCTTGATTCTCTCTTCTCATTTCACTGCAGTGGAGAAGCCGTAGGAGGATCTGAAATGGCCCCAGGTGCGGAAGGCTCCTGGGAGAGGATGGGTTGTTGGGATGCCGCTCTGGTGGATCAGAGCCCACGTCCCGCTCGTCCAGTCTCTGACAAGGACCAGTGCCAGATTAGTCAGAGCAAGGTGCAAGAAACCTCCTCTGCCCTAGTGTTCGAGATTAGCTAAAAACCTAACATTTAATCACTTCCCAAACATACCTGAGCATAAACTCCAGCTGGTTGTGTGACCCCCGCTACAATGTGTTCAATGTTTCTTTGAACCTTACTCCATTCTTGACTTCTGGGACATCATGTGGCAAGGAGTTCCACAGGCTAATTACACAGTGACATGCGGGAGAGGGAGTATTTCTCTATTTTTTGTATTTGCCATCTTTTAGCTTGAAGGATTATGTCCCTTCTCTCCCCCTGATTTCCTCCAAGGATGTGAATGGAAGCAACAGGGAGGTGCTCTCACCCAGCAGACCCAGCTCAATGCTGCTGCTAACGTGACCAGCCATGAAGCACTTACTCCTAACACTGGCTAAGGCCTTGCCCCCAAAGCTGGTTTCACCCACCCAGGGCTCAGGGCACATTTGGGAGCCTGAGCTGCCACCATTAGGCTCCCGATTCACCACCCCAAGAAAGCCCCAGGTCGCATGCCCCATTCTCCCTGGCCCAGGAGAGAGAATGAACCCTGCCCTAAGCAGCATGACTCAAGCTGTCCAGTGCAGCTGGAAGGTGCTCCCCTGCTGAGGACTGGAAAGCCCCTGTACTGGGGAGAAGGGCTGGTCCCTGCTGAGACCATGGGCTGATGCCCAGCACCATAGTGGTAGGCAGCTTTCTGAAGACTTACAAAGCATCTCCCAGCAGGGCAGGGTCCTATCCGCCTGAGTGCAGCATAGCAATGGCCCAGTCCTCAGTGCCTCAGGCCGGGCAGAGGGTCCGCTTCCAGCCAGGCCCCTAGGCCACGGAAAGCTGGTGCTTAAGCCTACTCCTTTAGCTGTCACCAGGGAATGAGCCTGGACAGCATCATGCACCATCCTAGAAGCATCGGATACACCAACCTCTCTTCCCTCCAGCAGGAGCAGAGGCCCCGACTTGGTGCCGTAGGAGAGACATTCGTCATGGTCAGAACCCTCTAAACCACACTCCAGCTGCTTTCAACAAACTGAAAGGAAAATTAGCCAGTCTGACATTTCTAACAAGCCTTCAGCCCATAGGATTCCAAAGCATGGTGTCCAGCATCTAACTTTGCACCTACCACGGAAATACAGCCAATTCAGGGGAGGATAAGTCATATAGCCGTGGACTGCAACAGCTTAAGGCAGGGAATCTCCTATGCAAACTCTGTGACGATGTGACTCAGCAGGGAGGGGGGAGTGTTGACCTGGGAATGTGCCCTGGGGAGGGGAGACCTGAGAGCCTGTCACCTGAGCCAGGAGGGGGAGGGGGAGGTGACACCTCTGCCCGGGAATGTGGACGGAGGCTGCAGCAGGGAACCTGCTGGGGGGTTTAGTTTCAGTTTGGGGCTGGGTGGAGGAACGCAGGCAGCCCCAGGGCTGGGGTCTAAGCTCCCTGCTCCCCCAGAAGGACTCGACTGAGGGGTCCTGGGTGTACCCACAAGCTCTGTTTTGGACTGTGTTCCTGTTGTCCAATAAACCTTCTGTTTTACTGGCTGGCTGAGAGTCTCAGTGAATCCCAGGAAGAGGGGTGCAGGGCCTGGACTCCCCCCACACTTCGTGACAAACTCCAAGGGGAAGTTGAGGCAGGTAGAATGTAGTTACTGAGATTTGGCCAGGACAGCAAGGACTTGGCTACGTTATTGTTACATCAGCTTGAATTTTCTTTGCAGAGAGAGTATGTTACTATAAATGTGCAATAGGGTCCAATGAGCACAAGGACCCAGGGCTTCTGCACAGGAAAGCTGCTCCAGAAGCTAAATGCATAAAGGAGGCAGAATAGCAGCAAGCACATTTCCCTTCTGAGAGCCTGGAGCAGCTCCTGGTAATATACTTAGCCCCAGGCCAGCGGCATGGCTACTTCCAGTGGTTTAGAAAACAGATTAGCGGTCAGAACAAATCTGCAGCCTCGTGGCTGCCGGGCCAGAATTCAGACTCTCCTGCTCCAAAAGCACAGCCCTGTTGGCACCTAAGCTGAAGGGGAACCTCCATTAGCAGTACAGGGGCCATGATCCACACTTGAGTTTGCTTTCATCCGTTCCAGGGCAACATAAGCAATATCTACCTAGCAACCACGGCTAAACCCTTTGGAGGTGTCGGGCCAATGGCTGCAGTTTATTTGCCAAGTCCAGGATAACTTCCCACCCATTAGAGGCTGCAAATTAAATAAGGTCACACAGGCATCACCCTCGCCTGCAGGGGGAGCCAGCTCAGACTCCCACCCGCAGCCATCTGATCCCAGAAAGACCCAGTTCAGCCCTGAAGGCTCTGGAGAGAACATCAGACCCAGCAATTCTCAGCTGCCCCCTGGGCAAAACCTCTCCTCTCTGTGCTAGAGGCATTCTGCCCCAGCCGGCGCACGGCCGCCTTCCTTGCTTTGCACGAGGCCCCGCAGCTGTAAAAACAATGGGGCGGCCAGCGTGCGAAGATGGTTTTAACAACGAACCCCTGGGAACGGCAGGCCACGGGACGCACTTAGCATGTGCACGGGCGGGGGGGGGGGGCACCAGAGAGAGGGGGCTTGTTGCAGCAGGTCACCTTCCCCTTTGAGAGAGGCCTGAAGGGGGTTTTGAGGGGAGGGGTAATTCCCACTCCGGCTGCTGCTCGCTTGGCTCAGGCCCCAAAGGGAGGTCGGATTGTCAAGCAGCCCCAGGCAGGGAGCCTGCAAGCCCAGCGTTCACGGGTTGCTGTCCATGAAGCTGCTCTGGCTCCAGCAGAGAAGCCAGGGCCTGCAGCATGGGGCTGGCTGCTGGCGGATTCATGCCACGCTGCGCAGCTTGGGAATAAATCCACCCCGCACTCGGCCTCGGGTCTGCGCTGCGCTCAGACCCTGCCCCTCCACCTGCAGGAGGCGCTGTTAGCGGCACGGTGCCCATGCCACCCAGCGGAGCAGCTCGGAGCCCGCAGCAGAGCCGCTGGCTGCAGCCCCCTAACTACGCGTCGTACCCTCCCCGAGCCGGGGAAACGCAGGCAAGGCCTTTTCCAGAGAGCTCCAAGGATGCTTCCCTAGGCACCGGCCCCAAAGGCCCAGTCTGGGGGGTTCACCGCAAACATCTCCAGACTCATCCCGGAGGGACAGGGCAGGCTGGGTGTTTATTCTCTGCAGAAAACCGGGGAACAGCATCAGCTGGTGGTCAGGAGGGAGTCAGGATTCCTAGGCTCTAGGCCCAGCTCGGTCATTGACTTGTGACCCCAGCCAAACCACTTTGCCTCCTTGGGACTCAGTTTCCCCATCTACTTCCCTGGCCCCAGCACTATAGCATCTGCTGGCCTCACACCCCCTGCGGGGCAGAGCAGCTGTCCCTGCTGTACAGAGGGAACCCGAGGCCGGGAGAGGCAGAGTGGCTGGCCCAGCATTAGAGACAGGGACTCCCCAGCACAGCAAGGAATTGCCCAGCTCTCCCCCATCCCAGGACCCACCAGGAGGCCCCCCAAGCTTGAAACTCTCCCAGGGGGGTTCTGCGCCCACCTCCGCCCCAGCAGGTTGGGGGTGGGGGTGGCGCAGCCCCCAGACAGCTGGGTTTGCTATAAAAAGACAGGGCAGGCGTTCCCCACACACGCAGTTGCTGCTTCACCGTCATTCACTGCCCACCCCTCCCCAGCACTGCGTCCTGGGAGCGAGCCCCCAGAGCAAACAGGAGCCGCAAAGAAAGCGGCCGGGGGCTGGCATGAGCAGGAGGGACCAGGGCTGGTCTCCGGGGACACCGCACGGACAGGACGGCTCCGGGGACACCGCACGTGGCCTGCCCTGGGTGGATCGCCACTGCGCCCCTCGGCAGCAACCCGCCCCTGAACTGCCACTGTGGGGGCTCACTGCTCCCACCCCCCCGCCCCATAAGACGGCCCCTCCCCCTCCATTCCCCCCACTTACCAGCTGTGCCTCCAGCAGGAAGTTTTCCACGGAGGGAGGCCCATGGCACTTGGGCGGGCGCCGATGAGCCGGGGTGGGCCCCAGCCTTTCCTGGGCAGCCGCGTGTCCTCTCCCCACACCGGCCTCCCTGCCCCAGGCTCTTCCGCCTGCTGCCTCAGGGACTGGCGCTCCGATCCAGAATCGACTCCCAGTCTCCAGGTGTGACCCTGGGCAAGCTGCTCAGTTCCCCACCTGGACACGAGGGGGTTATCCCCCCACTTTGTCTGTTCAGACTGGAGCTCACTGGGGCAGGACCTGACTGCAGCACCCGGGCCCGTGGAGCTCAGCTTTCAGCCAGGCCCTAGAAGCAGGAGCAGCGTCCTTTGTTACCACCCGTCACCCCCACCCAGGTCTGCGCCCACCCTCCTGCACGTCACTAGCCCCGTGGAACCCCCGTCCGGGAGCTGAAGCGGCCTCGCCTGTGTCCAGCTGGGCGCAGGGCTGGCTTGCAGCCCCATGGTGATGGGACGACCTCCCCAGAATCCACTCCCTGCTGTGGATGCAGGGCTATTTTAGGGCACGGCTCACATGCAATTAGCCCGTTAGCCACAGGAACACTGGGACTCCCTCCCAGCTCCAGGCAGAGCTGGAGGAGAGCAGCTCCCAGCAAGGGGCTGGCCTGAGGCACCTGCAGGCTGGGAATTTGGGGAGCAGACCCCACTGACAGTAGGAGGAAGCCTGTCCTGATCAGCAGGATCTGCCCCCCCCCCCCCCAATTGATTCCATTTACAGTGCGGGCAAGGGCTGCTGCATGTGGTCAGTTCCCATCTCCCCTTTGCCCCCCAGTGAAGGGGTATGGCTGTGCTGGAGAGAGCTCACCCAAGGGCAAAGCATGGCCCCCGACAGACACAGACACTCATGGGAGGGTTAATAGAGGAGCTTAATGGAGACATCCTCTGAGCCACTCAGCCCATGCAAGCTGCATGGGGCTGGGAGTCCGGACGCCTGGGTTCCGTAGCCAGGTCTGCCACTGACCCCAGGGGAGCGTCCTTTCGCCTCCCCGCTCCCCCGACCCACCCCATCCGCCTCGGGGAGGCAAAGGCTTCCCCATCTCTGGAAGCGAGTGATCCAAGGTGAAAGTACAACAGCCACACGCGGATGCAAAACAGTCTTATTGTATTGATCAGAATCCGTGCCAAGCATTTTAACAGCGACATCCGTGTCCGTACAAAACCTCACACCTCCCCCCACCACAGCTGACCACACCCGTGTCCAGCCGCAGCCCTGCCCCCCCTCTGCTGTCTACTGCGGCTTGGCGGGTGGGGGCTCCGTCCAGTGGGGAGCCCTCACTTGCTGAGCCACCCTCTTCCGTGGCTATTTCCTGAGATAAGAACCAGCTTTGCTGGGAAGTTCCCCTCTGCTCCGTGGAACCAATTTCTCTCCCCCCCCCTGCAAGAGGGACTGAGCACGAGGATGGAGACGTAAAGCGTTTCCTGAAGGGCTGCAAGTCAGAAGAACACGGAGTCACCCTCGGCCATGCAACCCCATCCTGCTCCCAGGCCAGGGCTGTCCGTTCGCGCTGACTCCTCGTCCCACAGAGCGGACACGCCCCGGTAAGATGCTAGCTCGCCTCTGGGCCAGCCATCCCCAGGGTCTGATCCCGCAGGGTGCTCAGCAGCCCGAGCGTTCTCGCCCGGCCACGCGACAGCCCCCGCACCGCGGTCTCAGAGTGACGAGCAGGAGATAACAAAGGGACCTTCCATCACAGGCCTAATGCGTCACCAGGCTGAGCGGTGTGGTGGAGAGACACGGACAGCCCCACGGTTCAGTCACCTTTGGGCCCAGAGCCAGTGCCAGAAGTGGGGCTGACAAGAGCACCAGACTTCGCAGGAAGTCACGCAGAGCCCTGACGCTGCAGAGACAGGAGGAGGATGTGGCTGGAACAGAGCGGAGCTGCTGGCTGCCTTCCAGGGGAAAGCAGCGGGGGGGACCCCACACCTTTCCAGGCCAGGACGCTCCCCGCTGCGTCAGGGGAAGGGGCTGCCTGCTCCGAGATCCCTCTGGCTACGGCTCCGTTCGGAGCACTTGTCACGGCTGCTGCGAGCCTCTGGGGTAGCACCAGGATCCCTCTCTTCCCGGGACAGTCCTGGCCCCCCTGGAGAGACAGGCCAGCCTCTGCCACACCTCGTGCTGGAGGCGCTGCCTGGGGAAGGAACAGTTGCTCTCTCCTCCCGCAGCCTCCCTGCCGATGGTACCGGCCTCAGGGCAGAGCTTGTTTTGACGCAGCCTCAAACAGGCTCTGACCCATCAGCGCATCCACTCCCCGCAGCTACTGGAGGGGTTTGGTCACAGGAGGCCTGGAAGCAAAGGGCCCATTCCCCCAGGACACCTGAAAAATCACCCCTAATCGCGGAGAGGGGCCCAGCTCCCTCCTCCAGCAGTTCCCACGAGCAGGCTGCTGCTGGGGCTAGGTCCAGCTCCTGCTGTCCCCCCGTCCCCTTATGTGTTTCTCCTTCGGGGGTGGGGGAGCGAAAATCCCCTCTGCCCTTCACAGCAGAGCCTCCCCCCCCAGCACTGAAACCCAGGCCCTGGCCCCACGCTCTGCCCGGCCGCGGGCACCAACCGGGATAATAAATAAATAA